AAAGCAGAGGCTGACACCACCTCCCCCACCTTCCCCTTCTTTCCCTAAGCCTAGTATTAGAATATATGAGGTTTTAGAGAAAAGTTACTTTTAACTGGATATGAAGTGATGACAGCGACAGTAAGGCAAGGCCTGAGGCTAAAGGCGTGAAGTTTTACATCTCCAAAGTTTACCCAAATCCTTCCCCACAACCACCCCAAGCTGAATGTCCAATCTGCAGCCCCCGCGGGTGTCATGTGGGGCGCATCTTCAGGTGGCGTCATCCAGCTGGTCTGCAGAGACGGTTGATCAGGCCTAAACATGAGCCTTCAGCAGGCGCAGAAGAACAAAGCTCCCTCTTCATGGTCAGAGGTCTCCTCCAGCACGCTTCCCCTCCCAAAGACCCCAAGCCCCTCCCTCCCCGTCTCTACGGCAGCCAATAGCAAGCGAGCGACAGAGAGGCCGACACCCTAGCGGACAAGAGGGGGGGCTGCCAGATGCGGTCTGAAAGGCGCCAGGAAATGGGGCTGAGCCTTGTCTACAGCCCCACCACTTCTGCTTCCAGCTACATCCGCTCCCCAAACACCCCAAGGAAAGGACCCATGAGCAGGAAACGGGGAGGTGACTAAGGTGGAGGGCTGCCCTTGGGCCCCCTATATATAGTCCTCAACTTACGAGCACAGCTCAGCCCACAATGGATGTTGCTAAGTGAGAAATTTGTTTTGCCCCATTCTACGACTTTTCTCACCACACATGCTGAGCGAATCACCGCTGTACTCAAAATGAGCCACGCGGCCATTGAGGGACTCTGGCTTCCCCGTGGTCAGAGGGGGTGGGAAAAAGTGCAGGACACTTGAGAGGGAAGGTGGAGAAGACTGGGAAAGAAGAACTATTGGTGCAACTACTGGACGCAGCTTTAACCGAGACAGAGAGAATAGAAGGTGCTGTAGGTGGGATCGATATCAAAGAACGAGGCAACCAAGATCAACCAGAGCCATAAACCCTACATATAAAATATAAACATGGAAGAAGAAACAATGATTACAGTTAACATAAATGGACTCAACTCAGCAATTAAAAGAAAAAAAATAGTTCACAAATGGGAAAAGTTTAACTCAGACATAATGTGCCTACTACAAGAAGTCCCCATTCAAAAGAGACAGGAACATTTATTAGTAGAACCAAAGCTTGGGAAAATATTTACTGCATTGGCGGATTGTAAGAAAAGAGGGCAGATCTTCTATGTTAAAGATGAAATCTCAGTCAAACAAATCTATACAGATGAAGACGGAAGAATTTTAATGGTGGGAATCATGGACGATACCAAGAAAATGCTCTTAATTGCAATCTATGCTCCCAATGAGAAACAAGATGAATTTTATTAAAAAAAAAATGCACAAGAAAATTCGTGACTTGGACTATTCTGATATTTGCATGATGGGAGACTTTAATGGCATTGTAAACCAGAACATGGATTATAAAAAAAAATTACTTCAGAAATCCTTCTTCAGGATGAGAGGAAATAAATCTAAAAGAGATTTGGAGAGAAAGAAATCCTACAGAAAAACAATCTACTTTTTATTCAAATAGACACTCATCGTATTCCAGAATTGACATGGTTTTGCCCTCAATGGAATTGATTTGCAACGTACAGGAAGTGGAGATCGAAACCAGCACTTGGGCCGACCACAATCCAATTCCAATCCAATGGAAAGGCCAAAGGTCAAAGATCCAGACGGACACGAAACAACCCAATCTTGAAAGAGAAAGATTTTATACAGAAAATGGGGAAAGAACTGGCTTTTTCCTTTAAACAAAATAGAAAAGAAGATGCATCAATGCAGAATCTTTGGGAGACAATGAAAGCTTTCTCTAGAGGTCTGATAATGGACTCCACAAGAAAGAGACATTTAAAGAAAAGACAAACACATAAAGGTCTAGAGAATGACTGTAAGATACTTGGAAAAGAACTACAGAAATCTCCACATAAAAAAGAGATTAAAATGAAAATGGATACAATTCAACACAAAATGGACCTACTGGAAAAGGAAGAACTGGCGCAAAAAAATCAGAGGCGTTAAACAGAACCACTTTGGAAATGTAAAGAAGGCAGGCAGAGGGCTGGCATATCAATTGGAAAAAGGCTTTTGGGATGCTGCCAACGGTCGTTAAGTGGGGGAAATGGTCCCGAGTGGCTTTTGTCAATGCTGGGGTAACTTTGGTCAATACATGGGACTGTTGTAAGTGGAGGACTATCAGACGCAAATACTTTTCACAAGAGTCTAAGGAAGACCCCCTTATGGCCCACATAGAAAAAAGGCCGGAGCGTCTCCCCAAGGAAGGGCCCCGTCCGGAAGGTGTAGAGGGAAATTTCCGTCTCTGCATCCAGGAACTCCACCGTTTCTGCCTCGTAGCCCAGCCTCACCCGCAGCCTCTGCGGCGCCCTTTGCAAGATCACCTTCTTCTGATCCTTGGGGAAAGCGATCATCTGCCCCCCACCCCACTTCCCCACGGCCCAGATTCCCTCCTGGGGGCTCAGCTGGAAGCTCCCCTTCCTGCGGACAGACTCCTTGGCCACCCCGATGGCCCAGCAGTCTCTGCCCCCCACAGGGACACAGTCTGCCTCCTCCACGGACACTTCCCACCACGTCCATCCTGTGGTGAATCCCTCACAGCCCAGGACGCACAATTCCCGGTCGAACCTCTCTGGCGTCTCTGGGCATCCCTGGTATTTCCTGGCCCAAAACACACTTGACCAATTGCAGTGGAGCCGGGGATGGGCGGTTGATTCATTCAACTTGCGGCCAACTGTAGGACGGAGAAGAGAAAATGTTAAGGCAGGAAGGGAACGGAGGGTGGGGAGCAGGGAGGGTCTGGTTTACCCGCTTCAGGAGGGTCATTGTGGCTTCCGCACCTGCTTAGCGGACAAAGGGCAGCAGGATGGCAAAGGGAGTATACTGGGTCATCTATGGAGCCCTGAGACTCAGTGCCTGGCAAGACCCCCACCTCCCCCAAAAAACGTCGGACAAATTCCTAAATAGGGGGGGTCTCTGCAGCCTGAGGTCAGTGGGGCTGCCTCCTAAGGGTGAGGGTTCATGGGGGTCCCTGGCAGGGCAAGATGGGCATAGGGGTCTGACCCAGGAAGGCCCTGCGTTTACTTTGTCCAGGGCGCCTGGAGATAGCACAGGTAGTCCTCGCCTTACGACCATTCATTTAGTGACAGCTGGAGGTTACAATGGCACTGAAAAAGTGACTTATGACCGTTTTTCGCACTTACGACCATTGAAGCAGCCCCATGGTCACCTGGTCAAAATTTGCCCGCTTGGCAGTTGGCATGGATTCGTGAGGGGTGCAGAGTCCCACGGACATAAAATCCCCTTTGGCGACCCCTGCGTCCCCCTTGCTAAGCCTCTTTATTGCCTCTCATTGCCAGGACAACTCATCAATAAAGTTCAAAGGATCTGGGAGGTCGGCTCTGGGCTACTGACCTCTTTCTTACTCAAATTTCGTTTCCATGGAGATCTCTCCACGAGGCTTTTATGACCATCAAGGTTTCTTTCTTTGGTTAGGTTGAGAAAGAAAGGGGGGTTGTTTTATCATGCAATCTCTGGGTTCCTTTTTAACACACTTTCTTAATCACAACAAAGTCCTTCGTCTCAGGAGAGATACTCAGCCTTTCTCGCTGAAACGGGATGTTTCTCTCTGCTCCAAGAGGGGGTGGGGAAATCCCGGCAGGTTTCCTCAGTTAAAATGCAAGCAGAGTTTGGGATTCAACTTCAACTTCGTCCCTTTTACTCGAGGGGAGGGGAATAGAGAATTACCACAGACCTTTTACTGTTCTGACTCAGCGATGTGGATTTGCCTGGGGGAGGCAGCTTAACTCCACGCTTAGGAATCTCTTTCAGACCAAGTTTATTATCAGGCATTCTTAATAGCAAAACGTACACTTCAGTGTTGAGGTTCTTCTGACTCTGGGCTCAGTTGTGGTCGTATGTCGAGGACTCCCTGTGTTTCCGCTTCTCCCAGGTTGCCACTATAGGTGGTGGTGGGTTTAGTGCTCCTCCCAGAGAGGGCACCAGAGCCAGGCGATGGGGCCAGTCTGCCCCAGGGACCTTGCTGGGGTGCCTTGTACTCCCCCCCCCCCCCCGAGAGCCCTCTGCAGGTGCTGGCCCACCCACCACATTTGGGTGGCTGCTTTGGGGTCCCCCCATTTACAGGCAGCCTGGAGGGCTGAGAGTTGGCTCAGGAAGGGCCCTTGCCAGGCACTGGATGCCCAACATCGGCCACAGGGCGCTTCTGCTGGTCCCCACCCCCTCTGTGGAAAGGTCCCTTCTCCTCAGTGCGCCGTTACCTTCACTTGTTGGGTCCTTTGGAGCAGGTGCTGGGGAGGAAGGGGGAAAAGGTTAAGATCAGGCTGTTCTTCCTGAAGAAGCCCCCTCCCCACTTCTCACAAGGCACATCTCGAAACTGAGCCCCCCCCCTCCTGCTGGGCTCTTCTGTGCCCGAGAAGGCCTGCCGAGACGCCCTCTCAAACAGGGCTCTTTTCTGGAGCGGCCAAGGCGTGGCAGGGAAGGGCCGATCCGTGTGGCTGCTGAGGGACCCCTGACTCCCCCAGAGGCTGCATTTGGGGCCCTGTAGACACTTCCACCCCAAGGAGAAGGCCACTCCCGGCAGGCGTCACTCCTGGCACTCTGGGAAAAACGCTGCTGTGAGGCCTGGGGAGGGCAGGTGGTCTTTGCCAGCCCCTCCCCCACCCAGCCCCAGGGGGTTACCCGTGGCCAGAAGTTGCTCCAGGTTCTTCCTGGTCAGAGTCTTCTGCAGGGAGCCTGAGATTCAGAGGAAGAAAGGAAAAAAACGGGGCCGGGGTGAGAAACAGCTGCCCGTGGGGGATGCCTGTGAGCAGAAGCCACCCTTGTTGGCAGCAACGTCTGGGTGCCTCCCAGATGCCCAGTGACTCCCCTCCCCCAAGGGCCATGGTTGGGGGGTGACTGATGGTGGAAGAGGCAGTCCCCCCTTATCCAGCCAGCAAGTGGAAGGAGCTGGATTGGGTCCGGCTCCCCTGAGATCCCCCAGTAAAAGGGGGGCAGAAGAGGGGCCCAGAACCCCCCAGAACTCCCAAGGCTCCTCCTGAGGGGGACCCGGGGCCCCCAGCCCCTCCTCAAAGGGCCCCTCACCTTTTTTACGGTCCACAATCTGCCTTACAGAAGCGTTTTTCTCCAAGATGGTGCTGTGTCTGCCTTGCCGCCTGGGAGAGACCCTTTCTACGCGCCCCACCACGTAACTCTGGCACCTGCGACACAAGGAGGGCGGCCTCACACAGCTACCCGGCTGTCTCCCCACAATATGGGGGAGTGGGTTGGCCGTGGGGTGTGTGAAACAAGCCAGCCCTTTCCAGAATCTTGCCAGGTGAATAAAGGACTCGGGTTTGGGGAACCTGAGTTTAGGATGTGGTATGAATCCTGGCTTGTTTCTTATGCAGGCGTTGTTTGTTGCTTTGATCGCAAGCGACTCTGTGCACCGAACCAGTGTATAGTTCAGTAAAGAAGCGAGGAAAGACACCAACTCACCACAAACGTCTCTGTGATTCCGAATAGACTACACCAAGGAGTAAGGCGTTAGTAACTTATCAATTACAGTGATTCACTAACACTTGTGGATTAAAGGGGGGCAAAACGCAGTTAACTGTCTCACTTAGTAACAGAAATTTTGGATTCACCTGTGGTCGTAAATCAAGGACTGCCTGCACTATTGGCCTGCTCTTGTTTCCTTCTAAGTGGCTCCCTGGTGAGGTTGTTCTTTCCTCTGGATCGTCTGTCTGCATCGGTAGTTTCCTCACCTGTGTTGTTCACAGCTTAATGACCAACCAACCACCAATCCACAAAGGGGACCTCAACTGAGGGCGACCCTCCCTTTCCCCAAAAGTTAGACCTCCCCCGGATAATACGTCCAATCGGGCTTTTGAGCGCATGCGATCAAATAAGCCCTCCTTGAAAACACGGCAACCCAGCCACAGCCATGAGGGGAACACGCTCTCCGCGTCCTGCACCGCAAAAACAACTAGACCTCCCTGAAAATAAGGCCAAGGGTTTATTTCTGGGGCCCAAAGAAAACAAGACCCTTCATTATTTTCTGGGAAAGACGGTACTTGTATATCAAGAGGGAGCGAACCCCACCCCCTCCCAGCACTGGTGATGTTACCTAGTGGGGTAAGGAAATGCCTGGAGGAAATCATTCGAGCGAAGAGGGCACCAAAAGTCCCACAATCAGCATCTCTTGGCGACAAAATATGAAAGGATGTAGCCGCCCAAGGAATTCTTTTTTTTATTTATTTATTTTTTTTTTTTTTTTTGTGTAAAATATTTTATTCAATTTT